CAGCAGGAAGATGTGCAGAAACAGCATGACAGCTTAGAGAGAAGGATAATCAGCAGGCCTCAGCTGCAGTGAACAGCCTTCCATCCCTCCCGAGCAGCTCGGGTACTCGCAAAACAGCCTGCTGTATCTGTGCCAGGTGCACCAGGTACAAGTTTTTGAGGCCCACATGTTACCATCACCCATCAGAACTTCTCCTCCTTTTAACAGCAGGCACACAATGCAATGCGGTCTTCAAGCTGAAAACTAGAGAAACCACTACTTCGCTGTCCGTCAGGTTCCTCAGTAGGCCAAGGCATTTTGCACTCTAAAACCTGAGTGATAGGACTGCACTTTAAAAGCTGCATGTTCTGTTCTGACAGGGCAGAAGAGTTCAGGAATCCTACCTCATTTCCTCTGAACACTAGTAGCTTAGATGCTTTCTAAAGGTCTCCCTCCTCTGGGATTCATTTGACCTAGGTCTGAAGAAAGCCACCCTTTTTTCCTTGCATGCTGTAAACCTCATTTCTCCAGTCAGACCTGCTGAGAGCAGTGCACTGAGCTTCCCCTGGGGATTAGCTTCCTCTTGACTCAACAACCTGACCACGTCCTGCCAGAAATGGAGGAGCCTGGATGCCCTCACAGAATCTCCTTGGCAACACAAAAGATGCTTGCCCCATCAGCACAAGGCATTTATTTTCTGACAGACAAAGGGAGAAGCTACTTGGTACTTCACCTAAGTCCTGAAACAAGCAAAAAGCTTAAGAAATCCTATCCTGCTTGAAAATAGGAATATTAAGAGCAAAAAAAGAGTCCAAGTCAGACCATAAATCTGGCTTGCCCCATATTCTAACAGTGATCAGTAGCAATTGATTCAAGTGAAAGAAAGAACACACGTATATAGAGCAATTTTTATCATATTAAATTGTTCTTTCAGCTTCAGGAAATGCATGATTTAAAGACCTTCCAGTTGCTTACGGTCACTTGTGCATTAAGCATAGATACACCTACTACCTGTGATTTTGACACCCTCCCCGTAAATTCCTTTTGAACCTCCCCACCACGCTGCAGTAAAGTCTTCTGTAGTAACTGTGCACTGTGTGAAGCAGTTCTATTAGCGTGAAGATTCATCACCTCATCCTGAGGTTAACTTTGCTGTTACAGATGCTTGGTCACAGAACCAAGGTCTAAGCAAACAGCCACGGCTTGTCATGAGTAGACAGAGATGAAAACAAATTCAGGTCTCCCAGTTGAGTACTCCCAGTGCAGTACTCATTATAGTCTCTGTTGTATTATGAAATGGAAACAAAACCAACCGCTCAGAACAGAGAGGAAAAAAAAAAAGAGATCCCTAAGGACATAAAAACCACTAAAATAATAATTTTTCAAAAAACTTGAAATATAGCACTTTGCTGCCCTAAGAGCTAAGGGCGGGCTTGCGTGCAGAACAAGGACAACAGCTGTGCATCAACTAAACACAGGAAATTGAGCATCTGAAAAGAGGGAGCAAGAGACAGCCTAAAGAACACCCAGCAAAATATGCTGGATAAGCAGGCAGAGGTTTGAGCCATCTAGGACTGAGAAGTTTCGTTGAAGCTCGTTGTTTAGAGACTGGCTCGCTATCTGCAAAACAGCAGTGAGGATGGATAATGGGCGTCAGAACAGCTGCTCTGTGCCTGATACATTGAACTGGGGTGGAAATCCTACCATATGACTTTGGGATAATCTTAAATCCATTACAACATTCTCCCCTTCCCTGCTCATCCCACACGAGCTTCCAAACTTCTAGCTTATGACTGGCTGCTACAGGATCATTGCAGGCTGTCTCTGAAGGGATAATCCTAGATTTTAAGTGACAGTTCACGGGCATCTTCTCTTTCTTCTGAAATGCTGTCTTACACAGCACGTTAAGTATTTCAGAGATTAGTAACTGGAGCAAAGAGTTCTAATCTTGGTGTCCTAGTGGACATTTAGCAAAGAATTGTTAGTGTTTGAAGTCGCTATGGCACAGGAAATGTAAGAAGCCTTGAAGACCAGAAGCAAACCTAGTATGCAGCTCAAACGGAAATCTGGGACATTAAACACATGATCTGTGTTTAGTCTCCAGGGCTTCTCACTGACGTGATGTTTCCACTCAGAGCAGATCTTAGGGACCCTGTGAAAGGTGGAACCCAGTTTGAGCTCTCTTTTAGATTAAATAGACTGAGCTCACCAAGCCTGTTAAATGACAACCTGTACTTTTGTATTCTTTGACCTGAATTAGGTGATAAGTGAATTGTATAATAAGGTTACAGGTTGCTTTGAACTTAATATATTGAGGACCAAATGTTAGTCACTTGTCCATCTCTGAACTGACAGTTGCACTTTGTCAGCTTGCAGGATACAGCTTAGGAGGATAAACACACCACAGATTTTAAGGCTGCTTACACAGCAACTTAATCAATATGCCCTATGATCATTTGGCAAAGGCCCTCAGAGCATCAGATAAATTCTCTTGTGCACAGATTTTTTTTTTCCCTCCCTTCAGTAGGGTTTTTCCCATTGTTCCTCCTGCCGCTCCTCATACAACCAAGAACTCCAGTAAAAAAGAGCAAGATAGGCACCTTACCGGCCTCTTCTTATTTTAGGTGGCATAAGGCAACTCATGGAAGGAAATAGTCCAAAGCCTCTAAGGCTTTTGTGTGTCCTATTGCAATTACAAGGAATAGAAAATAGGCATCCAAATTCTTCATGTGGCTATGAGAAAACCTTACCACAAAAGCGTCACAACATGGGAGTTTTATGAGACTTTCAACTAGCCATACCACCAAAAGTAACACCGTTGCCTCCTCTCCTGCCCTCCTACCCAGCATCCACTCCATTTTTTCGTGCCAGCACCAACGCTCATGCAGCTCCACAGTAAACGTATCAGGGAACTGAACTTCACTGGATAAAATTAATCCCATTCTGCAATGTTCACGCTTTTCATGCTGCTACGCCAAGTAATTAAGCAATGACCAACATATTTAGAACAGCCTGTGACTGCGATCGTTTTGTCCAAGTTCATTAGTTACTCCAGTTATTGTGGGACAAAGTGACAAATCAACAGCTAATATTTGGGAGATTATAAGACTATGCTTCTGTACAGCTGTTAAGGCACCTGATCTGGCAACTCTGTACTGCATTGGACAGCTCTGCTTGGAATCAATACAAATAAAACAGTTGGAATAGTTTGGCCAAATGTTTAAAAGTAGCATAACTACCCATCACAGACACCCTTTTAGGTTTTCATTCCGAAATGGTTTCGTGCACAACTTACGCTCTTACCTACTTAACTACCATAAGCATTAGAAAAATGTTGATATCTTCAATATTCAGTCCGTACTAAAAGCCAAAGGTGTGTCAAAGTGGCTTGCATAGCAGTGGGATATCAAATATTCTACTACAGTTCACTGCTACAAATTCAGATCAGAAAGGATGCTTAGTTGGGGTGCAACATTATTGCACTACAGTATGGTATTTTTCCCATGTACTTTAACACCCATAAAATTATATTAACAGTCTTGAAAATGGGTATGCCTTGAGGCATTCAGAGATTGGATTAACAGTCCAAATTTGAGGTTACTTGAAGGCAGCTAGCTGCCTTTTCCACCTCTTCTATTAACCAAATAGTCAATCAGGACCAGACCAAAGCTCCATTTAGGCCTGTATCCTAACTCAGAGTCACCAGTGCCAAACGCTTTAGGAACCGTATAAGAGGAGAGCAGGTATGCAACAATACTTCCTTCATACACTCTTGAAGAACATGCGACCACAGGACTTCCTATGCACAGGTGATATCCACCATGTAATAGCCCTCAGCATATTATTTTAATTGCAGGTTTGGGTAATATTTTGAATCCAAAAATGTGTATCACATCCTGTGGTGACAACCGTCCCGCCCCACTTCATCATCAACAAATCTCCCATATTCTTTGTTTTGAACCTGCAGCATAACATATCTTGCTGTCCTACAGCTTTTAGGAGACTGGAAGCCACCCCTTGCTCACTGCCTTTATACCAATTGGGGTTTAGATGTTTTCCCATAGTCTTGATCTTTTCTAGCCTAACAGTTTATAACTCTTAAAGTGATGGAGTCCACTTAGGTTTCAGTTCAGCATTTAGTATTAATAATCCTTCTGTGAAAGCAAAAGTGTGTTTTTTACTGCGAGAACGGAATTCACAATCAACATTTCAGCTGGAGTACATTGAGCAGCAGGAGAGGGGCCCAGCTGCAAGCCTGTGTTCTGCAGCATCCTAAGATTATTCAACTAAATACGTGCTTGTTGCTGTACTCTTTAAAGGATTCAAATGACTGAAACAACTCAATGATAAAGCACAAATAGTTTGCTTTACTGTTAAAACAACTTAAGATGACGATAGCCTATTCTGCTTTTCGTCAGACTGCAAACAGAATTTAAACGTTATCTATTAAGTAAAAAGGTAAATTTGCTGACCTCTTTAGCTTCTGTTAACCCTGACCGCATTGGTGTTGGCACTCATCATAATATTATGATACCACATTGAGGTTATCAGGGCTCTTCTGGTAAGGGATCAGTCTCCTCTCATTTCCCAGCCTTGCTAAAATAAAGCTGACGCTGACGGTTTCGGGGGAAAGAGCAAAGGTGTTTCCAATGGAAGAAGCCAATGGATTGTGTATTACTCTGTACTAATTACAGATTAGCCCTAAAAAGCCCACTAACATGGAGGTACCCCCAGCCAACTTTTTCAAACAGCAATATAGAAGAGTCCCACCAGTCAGGTGCTCCTCTGTTCGGCCACGACTCTTGTAAAAACCTAAGGACCCCAAAGGAGCTGGAGATCCTTCCAGATTGTGCTTTATGAAGGGTTCTTTCTTTGTAGCTGAACAGAGCTTTATGCGACCAGGTCTCCAGTTCCAAACAGGACATCATTTCACTGTTAGAAAGTATCTTAAATCCCACCACTGATTCTGCAGTGATTTAACAGAAAGCGCATAGCGGGGAGGAAATCAAACGAGATGCGAGTCAAAGAGGCCTCAGAAGGAAACCCATAGATCAGCCCGTCTCTGGTCTCTAGTAGCTTGACGTGTCCTGACGAATGCTCACAGCAATGAGCAAGGGAGACGCCTGCTGGACTGATTGGCTTGATACAAGCCCAGTTTTTGGATCATGCAATAGGGACAGTATAAAATCAGTAACTTTTAATTAAAAAAAACAACCAAATAAAAAACATATAAAGCATACCCTCATAAAAAGACTGAGTTAAAGTTTATGAGAAAAATTGCATTCGCTGGAATGTGCTTCTGCTGTGTTCCTTCTGGCCGGTATGTACTCCCGTGGTGTGTACAGGCAGCAAGTGCTATGACTGTGCCAAGTGATGCCCCAGAGCCTTTGAACAGTTTCTTCTCTTTCAAGTGACCAGATGAGATACCTTATGCCCTCTGACTAGCCAGCAAGGCTAGGCTGAGGCCTTTACTCTATGCATAGCTCATTCTGCAGAGCTCTTCCCTTCTTTGCACCGTTATCTCCCCAGGAGAGTATATGACAAAGGCTCTGTGCTACGCTTGCTCACAGGGATTGCCTGTGCTGGATGCCAGCACTCTGCTAGGCGCTAATGCCTCAGTTGTCCGTGGGGCCTGCTTTGGAAGGCGAATGGGAACATAGACATTTGAAGCACAGTGTTCCTTGAGGTATTCTCCCCCCTTTTCTTCATAGTCTTTCCTGGTTATCCAGCCTTCCTCACGGGTCATGTATTCCACTGCCCAATCCCTAGCCCCATACCAGGCATCTAAAATGGGACTGGAAGCAAGATGAACCTGGATGGAAGAAAGACACAAGGGGATCTCTGTCAATGTAGGAGAACACCAATTTGTTTCAGAACTAAGCACAAGAGAGAAAAGCCCTTTTCCTTTAAATCCTGATTAGAGCATTATATGGTGCAAATTACTAATTTCAGAAGTATGAACTCATCATTCGGTGCGCTTGAAATAACCTGAGGAGGAAGGATAAGAAAGGGTTTGAAGTTTGCTCACCTAGAGAACTATTCTGTGAATCTGCTCAGTTTCTGTGGACTTGTCAACCCACATGTGGTATATCATATTCACCACCAACAGTGCTCACAGTTGGAAGTCAAGGCTGGAAAAGTTGGTGGTGTTGCAAAACAAGTTTCAAGTGCACCAGCAAAACTACCTGGAATTAGAGTGGCAGGGAGGAATACTGCAAGCTAACAGAAGTATGTGGATTCATATTTCCATTTAAAATGTTCCCATTACTGCAGCATGAAATGCATTCCTGGTCCAGCAACAGGATTACTATGCTAGGCACCATGCAAGTACCATACGTGAAATCTGCGAAGTGACAGACTGCTGATGGGACCACACTATGGACCATATTTAATGAAAAGAAATAAGCTCTTATTCCTTTACAAACAGCAACATTAGAAGCAGAAGAAAATGAGAGGCCCACAAACATATCCTCAAAAACAGGAAGTGACATCCTTCTTAAAACTACCAACCATATGGTTGTAACTTCCTATCGGTCACATGAGGCCCAAAGGCAACAGGTGCTCACTTCAGAAAGAAACAGCTGTGGAATTCCAAGATTACATTCACATATCCTTCTCATGATCTGTAAACTCTTTTGCTATTCAGGAACATAGCAGATTTGGGGAGAAACTCTGTAAGCTGTTTTCAGAACAACAGGGAAAGCTCTTAGAAGTCTTATTACAAATGCATCGCAAGCTCTTCCTCCATTACTGCTTTTTTACTAGCAAGCAAAATACAGAGGAACAGGTTTGGAAGATACCCACTGAATCTCTTTTGCTGCCATCCCAGCAATCATTACCCGTGGGGGAAAAAAAAAGAATTACATATAGGATTTAAGTGAGTTCTGTTTTTTCCCAGCAACTACTCCTACCAAAGACTGCTTGTTCCAAATAGTAACTGTCCTAATCATAAGAAATCAATTTGCAAATTTCCATCCAAATATAGTTGCTTGTGCTTTCACAGTGCCATAGCTGAAGCAGCTTTTCCTCTTCCAAGGAGTTCACCCTACTTTCTCTGATGTATTTAGAAAGAGCAACCGTATCCTCGCTTACCTTTCATTTTGTCAGGTCAAAAAAGCTGTTTTCAGTCTCCTGTCATTCCCATGCCCTAAGTACACCCACCCTGTACCTTATCCAATCCAAAATACTTTTGGGTATGGATGAACAGATTGTTCATGTGGAAGTCTCATCAACGCACGTACCTGAAAAGACGACTGGAATGGCCTCATTTCAAGGAGTTCTCTCTGGACTCTGGCTTTCAGTCCAGGGTACATTGCATTTCCACCAGTGAGAAAAACATTCTGGACAAGAACAGCCTGTTGCTCCTTTGGATACCTGCAAGGAACAAAAAAAAGAAAACCCATCACTTTCATCTTTTTCAGCATTGGAGTGCCTCAGTCCTATGAACTGAACGACTATGGAGAATACTGATACCTGTCTTCAAGAATTACTCTGAGAAATCTTTCACTTCCCCAATATCAAACTCTGCATTAATTTGTTTTCTTGAAATTCAGTGAGGTGGAAGAAGAAAATTCTTAAAACACTTTGAACTGTGCTCCATAAATCAATAATTCTGCAGAGCTGGCATTCTCTGAAAAGTAGTATTACATCTCATCTGTTCACACAATTTGGCAGGTGACTTCATTCTAATGTCAAGTTGGCTGTAAGTAGTTGTCCAGTGGGTGTGTCTCTATCAGAAGTCACAAATGTCACAGCCAATTTTGGTCTCAAAAACAGACACTACCAACTTATTGCTTCCAGGGATTCAAGGGTTTGTTGTTCCTACCTGTAACAACTTAGACAAGCAGGGATTTATCTGTGGTTTCAAGAACACTAAGACGTCTAACCCGCAATGCCTGAGCCCACCAAAAATGACTATTCAAAAATATTTTCTCAAGCAAACAGTATTGCAAAAGCTAAAATCAAAATAAAACTAGCTTGTTTGAAGTTAACAAGTGCCGAGTAGCTTTAGAAACTCACCTCTCAAGGACATATTGCATGGTTTCTGCTATTCCTGCCTGGTCTTCTCCTATCAGAGAAGGCTGGAAGACGATCTCTGGAGCCCTGATTCTCTCAGTGCCAAGAAAAAGCTGGTGGTACTCTGCCAGGTTAAACACGGGCTTTAAAAGTGTGAGATTGAAAAGCAATAGAAAATTAAGTTAAAGAACTGTAGCATTCTAGAAAATACTCCCCTTATCCAGTTCCCTAATGTTTCCATTTGCTAAATAAACTTCATTCTAGCAGGCAGCTGATAGCATTGTGTACAGGGTTACCGTCTATGCAAGGCACGCAGAAACCTTAAATCAGCCATAAGCTAAATTTCCGAACAGTTCCATACAAAAGAGAACACAATACACTCTCAAAGTGCCACGTTGTAAAAGGTTTTTAAGACAAGGTTTCAAACGACTAAGGAAGCCAGACTTATGCTATACTTTGTGTCTGCCGCCACTCAGTTCTAGGGCTCTGCTTCGCAAGGTCAAAGTTTTGTTCACTGGTGCCTCTTGGTGGGACACTGGGCTATGGATCACACAGAAAAACATTTCAGCAGAACTTTCACTCCAAAACATCAGTAAGATCGTACGGGCTTCTCTCCTCATAATGTGCTGTTCAAAGATCCCTTCAAGACCACATCTGGAGACGTGTTAGCAGGCTAGCTGGACAACCAGAAAGTAGTACCCCTGGCACGAGGCGTAGATAGACAAATCAAACCTGCACTGCAGCAACAGGCTTCTCAACTTCAGGCTGCTCCTCAGCAAACAAAGGCTCAAACTCATTAATGCTTTCCACATCCTCCAGTGACTGTTCACTGCCTAACGGATCCAAATCAGGGGTCTGGAAACAGAAACAGGGAAGACGTTATTTGAAATAGGTTCTCTGATGTGCTAGCAATTCACATATTATCACCGGAACTGCAGTCATGTGTAAATTCAGTCCTGATCCCTTAACCTTCAGCTCTTTAACATGCTTGAATCAGAACACATGCTTTTCTCCAGCACTGGAGAGAAAAAAAAAAAAAAATCAAAAGAGTGAACTACCTAGAAAACAGAAATTAAGAAATACATATATTCAAAGAAAAAAAAAAAAGGAAAAAACACACATAAATCCCCAAACTTGCTTCCAATAATTTATCACAATGCCTACCCAGAAATTAAAGCCTTACTCAAAAGGGACTGCCAGGATCCCCAGGATCCTAAGCCAGCCATGTCCTAAATATAACAACATATTAAAACTTATCAAAATAGCTTTTTAAGTTGGTTAAAACCTGGTGTATTTCCAACACTAACTGCTCTATAATTACCATTTAATTCCCTGCCTTGCTTGTGTGGGTCTGGAAAACAAATATTTGCTAGCTACAAAGCCGCCACACAGTGCTTGACAGTTGCCCAGTTTCAGCTGCCTGGCATTACTACATGGGATGCACCAAAAAAACCTTAAATTTCACATAGACATAAAGGTGCCTGAAAGCTCCTTCTTGAAGGAAGGCATCACTCAGGATCCCAGAGTACTATTGTGAAGTGAGAACAATTCTTAAGTTACCTCATATATTTCAGCATTATAATGAAACAGCTTTAGTAACAGAATCCCAAAGATTTGTTTTTGTAATTTAAAAATAAAATGTTTGCAGTAATATTTAGCAAGCAATAAAGGAAGCAGACAAAGCTACATCGCTTCAAAGAATTCTTACGTATCTAGTGTATGGCCGTTTAAAACAAGCAACTAGTCAAAACCAAACTCTAAGCAGTGTTTACTGTTAGAGCAAACTAACAGTAACAGTTAACTGAAATTATCTCCAACATTTATGCTTCTTTATTCCCCCGCTTTCTATGTCCTTAAAAAACCCTAGCAACAGAAAGAAACGTAGAACTCAGTTGCGGAGTTAGCACAAAACCTGGGACAACATTCTGGGCTTTTACTCTTTTACACAGCCACAATGCGACAGACTATCTTCATGAGTGAATTCTGTGATAACTGTAGGGTTTCTCACAAAGCGCAGACCAAACAGAAAGGCCTGCTGATTCATTCCAAGGTCTGAGACAATACTTAGCAAACAAAAAGAGCCTGGAATCTGAATGAACATGTCTGAACTTAGGCACAAACACGGGGCAAAATTATAAGAAGCTGTCTTTCAATTACTTCTTTCTAAAATATTTTCTTTTGACAGAAGGCAGCAAGATGCTTTAACACAATGACAAATCTAGGATCTACCCCAACCCTGCCAAAACCCCATTGTCCTCATTCTTAACGCAAAGTGTCCTGGTAAGGGTAGGCAAAACAGAACTCTGAAGGTATCAGCACACCTGCTAGTTTTGGCTACATCTCAAGTCCTACAAAAACCACGTGCATTTCTACATCTGGCAGCTTTCCTCTATACTTCATTTTCCTGTTTCCCTCTCTACCTTTTCGTGAACAGAGGTTGACTTAAGTAGCAAAAGCTTTATCTTACATGCCTTGTAACAATGTCTAGCAATTAATCTTCCATTATTATTAAAAAAAAGCAGCATGTTGCTTAATTGCACCTAAAAGGTAGCCAAAATGAGGCACAGGGCTATGTGATCCCCATAAAAAAAGGGAAAAACAGAAAGGAACACACTGCTGGAGAAGTGAGGGGAACTGAATGCCGTTCGCCCTAGGATCATAACAACTTGAGGATTAAGTATTTAAAACTCAGTATCCTTTAACTGTCAGACAATTGAAAAGAAATTTTTTGACATACCAGGCCCACTTATTTCATCAAAACTCATGCAAAGGCAGAGTCAGAGGTTGGTTTGAATTATGAAGGAATAGGTGTCACATTTAATTTAATTATGAAGGTCAGGTGTCACATTTAAAACCCTCTAAGCAAGTCAACCTTAAGTAAGGATGCTGGCTAGCACACACCGCTTCCCATTGTACATATCCCTGGCAGTGTATCTTTTAACTGGTCTTGCCCCTTAGGCTAACTTCCTTTTCCCCACCCTCTAAAAGGCGTGCAAGAAATTTGTTAGGAAACTTAATTTCATATAACTGCCCATTTAAACAAGCCTCGGGAAGCCTAGAGATTAGGCTGAGATTTATACAAAACACAAAACGCAATCCAACTAGAAGACATGTCCCAGAGCCCTGTGCAAACAGCACAGCAGGGATTACTCATTTCAGGCACACGCTACAAAGTCAACACCGTAACCTTCTGTAACTGCATAGAAAGCTGGAAACGAGAGGAATAAGAGTCAAATTAACAAAGAGTTGCAGTGTGTTAAAGGAAAACCTTGGCTCATTAATAGAGTAGTCTGACGGGGCACGTTTTCAGGCACAGAAACTTAACTCCCTCAGAGATAACAACCAGATTAACTAGGTGACAATGTTATACCTCTGGTTTGCTGTCCACAACATCCACTTCAATATTGACTTCTGCCTGTAGGATTTTCTGCTTTGTTTGTTCAATTGCCAGACTCAGTTTGTTGATGTAAGACTGAAGTTCTTCTGCAGAGTCCATGTTCAGCTCTACCAAAGCTTTGTGAAATTGATCCATTTGACCATCTTCTAGAAGTTCCTACAGACAGAAGACAACTAGTTGTGATGAACGATACAGGATAACCAGCTCTGTGTAAAATGTTATAGACTTATTCTGCCTTCACTACCAGATATTACAGGTGTGTGCACTTCAACAGCATTCAAAATATTTCAGAGCAGAAGTACTATTCAGAACCTAGAAACATCCTCTGCATAAATAATCTTTCCCTTTTGTGTTGCAAGTAACCTTAAAAAGCCCTCAGAAAACAGGTGGGACAGTCATAGCTTCTTTACAGTGAGTGCAGAAGCAGATAGCTGTGACATCAGAAAACAGCTGGGACAGTCACAGTTTCTTTACAGTGATATATGACCTCTTGGATAAGGGTCTGAGGGCAGCCTGACCCCCTCCCCAAGGACTGCATAGAAAACTTCGCTGTCATGATTACCTGTACATACAGCAGCCTATCAAGCCTCTCTTGGTCAAGTTGCAGCTTCTCTTCTCGACGACGTGCGTTTAGTTCTTGAAGTCGACGTAACTGCTGCTGCCGTCTCTCCTGCTTTTCCTCTGACGTAAGCGTGCTGCCTAGAAGTTTGTTCGAGAAAGGCAGTTGCATCTTGTGCATGTTGTTCTCATAGTACTCAGGGGATCGCCACTTCTGTAGCTCTGAATGTTTTGAAAGTAAAATCATAATTTTTTTGCCAGGCTGAAAAGGATGATTTTTATTTTTAAGCGTTCCATACTGTAACTTCAGATTTTAAAGAAAGAAGGGAGCAGCCTAGTCTAGGATTCTGCCCATCTCTTGACAACTGTCCGCTGTATTTAGCTTCCCCCTCAGAGCACTACCTTCTAACCACATACACAGTGCAAACGACTTAGTGTTCTTATCTCCAAAATTAAGGAAATAAAAAAGACCAAGCGTGAAGTACACACTAACATCTCTTCTGACCACAGTAAGGGAGACTCCTCATACATTTCTAAGAGCTTCCACACAGTCTCAGAGCAAAACCTTTTCTTCTCTAAATACTATTTTGTATGTGAAAAGTATGTGAGAGGGTTCTTTACCTAGAATTACATTTACCACAGTAGTTTTAAAACTTTTTTAATTCACACCAAAAAAAAAAAAATCATTAGAAGTGTTCTCTGCAGTTTTGAAAATCTTAAAACCAATATGCTAGGGGTACAGAAAAGCAGAGGAAAAAAAAAAGGTCAGATGCAGAAATCATCCTGCCAAAACTTTTGTTGGAAGTAGAGAATAAAACAATTAAGTTTGATTTTAAAATATTTTCCTTCAAAATAATCCCAGTTATCATTCAGAGGTATTTGAACTAATACAGAAAGCATTTTTGATTTAATTCATTTCTTGCTTAATGCTATATTTTTCATTTTATGACCTCTTACAGAACTCTGAAATTGTTGTCAAGCTTTTCCTGTGAAGTGGATTACTGGAAAGAAAGCTGGAAAGCAAGCAGTATATTAGTAGCCAAAAGTACATATAACTATATAGATATAAAAATACAAATAGATACACACACACAGAGATATAGATACGTATATATATTAGCAGCAAGTATATTTCAGTCAATCTCAGCCAATCTGAGCGCAAGGGACGTAGAAGAGAGAACTGAGTTTGGATTAACGTTATCTAGTGACAAATTACAGCCGGTTTTACCTTCTATATAGTCCTCTGCAATGTAGCTATGCTCATGCAGTATTTCCTCCATGCGGCTGAGAGTGATGGCAGCAAAATGTCCTGGGTATTTCAGCTGAAGGAGGCGTTGGAGATATACGGCGGCTTGACATCCTCCAAGATTAATACGTTTGCAGTTTTTAGCATCCAACCTGAAAACCCAAGAGGGAATCTCTGAGATTGGAGAGATCCACAAGTTCTGGGCAAAATAGACTTTCATTCACTATTATTTAATCTCTGATACGGTCAAGTGGAGAGAGAAATATTCTCAGGTAAGTATTTCAAAAGGCATTATTTTATGCAAAATTTATGACCAGCTCGGGACTCCAGAGCCATAGAGATGAAGTAATGCTGGCTACAGGAATATGCTTTGTTCTAGTCCAAGAAGTGAAGTGGCGATTAATAGAGCCAAAAAATCGGTCCCTCTTAATGTAACATTTCACAATTGGCCAGGCACAAAGCTAGGAAAGTTGAAGCAACTGCCAGATACCGCAAAGCCATTTCCTGCGGTAAGGATTTCAGAAAGGGTAGACCAATGTAGCAGCCTAATCAGAATGACAAAAACCTTACAAGGACTGCAAAGGTCTCACTCTCTTTTGTCCCAAAAGCAGCATTAAAGCATAACACGGTTTTCACGTGTGATCTTATTGGGGGCACATAGCCTTTTTTTACTTTTGGAAACGTAGAACTATGAATAGTAACTAAAAAAGCAATATGCACAAGGACAGCACTACTGCAATTTCAAGTTCAGC